CGGCAACACCCAAGGTGATTCCTCCCAAAAAATTTGGGCCTCAACGGAACTTCTCGCACAGAAAAGGGAAGGACAAGGTGTTTCAAGAGGAACGGAAGCCTTACTCTCCTCCAACGGGTAGTCGGGGCCATACATCACATGGGCCGAGGACTCATGTCAATGTCGGAGGGTCACTGTTGAACTCTCCCTCCTTGTGCGGCAATGTGGCCAAACTCATGTCGGTGACTTTTGCCCCGGAAAGACATTTAGCTGCTTTCACTGCAAGGAGGCTGGGAATATTAGAAGATATTGTCCTAAGTTACAGCAGAGTGTGAATGTTGTAAGGGCTGAATGACCTCGATCTACTAGCAGAGTGTTCACCATGAGTGGTGTAGAGGCATCGGGTGTAGATAGCCTGATAAAAGGTAATTGAATGGTGGCAGGTATTCCTCTTTTAGTGTTATTTGATTCGGGAGAGAGACACTCCTTTGTATCTATTGAATGCGTGGATAACTGAAATTGGAAACTAAGTCGTTGCCTTTCGACTTGGTCGTATCCACCCCAACTAATGTGCCTGTGGTGGTGTTGACGGTTGTGTATCGATGTCTGGTAGTGGTAAACGGTATGACATTTATCGTGGACTTAATTTGTTTACCACTATCCCAGTTAGATCAAATTCTGGGAATGGACTGGTTCTCGACAAATCATGTGGTGCTTAATTGTGCCGATAAGACCGTGGTATTCAGAAATCCGGATGAGGTTTATGATGAGGCAAGTTATATGAAGTCGTTGTCGGCTAAGGAGGTCAGGACTTCCTGTAATGAGGGAGGAGTCGTGCTTATGTTGTTGGCATCCCTGGAGGGTATTGAGAAACCCAAAGTTGAGGATATTCCGATCGTTCGTGAATTTCCTAAGATATTTCATGGTGACATTCCGGAATTGCCTCTAGTGAGAGAAGTTGAATTCTCTATTGATTTGGTACCTGGAACGGGACTCATCTCTATAGCTCCTTATAGGATGGCACCGTTAGAGTTGGCGGAGTTGAAAAAGCAGGTTGAGGACTTGTTGGCAAAGAAGTTTATTCGTCATAGTGTCTCACCGTGGGGTGCGCCTGTTTTGTTGGTTAAGAAGAAAGATGGGAGTATGAGGTTGTGCACGGATTATTGACAGTTGACCAAAGTCACCTTCAAGAACAAGTATCCCTTGCCTCGGATTGATGGCTTCATCGATCATTTGAAGGGAGCGGTGGTGTTCTCAAAAATTGACCTTCGGTCGGGTTACCACCAACTTCGTGTGAAGTCGGAGGATATTCCTAAAACTGCTTTTAGGACGAGGTATGGACATTTTGAGTATTTGGTCATGCCTTTTGGAGTAACGAATGCCCTAGCAATATTTACAGACTACATGAATCGAATTTTTCATTTGTATCTGGATTCATCCGTAGTGGTATTTATTGATGACATTTTGGTTTACTCCAAAAGCCGAGAGGAACATGCAGAGCACCTAAGAATTGTTCTAGATCTTCTGAGTAAGAATCGGTTGTATGCTAAATTGTCCAAATGTGATTTCTGGTTGGAATCGGTAAATTTTCTTGGACATGTAATATCCAAGGAAGGGGTAGCTGTAGATCCTTCAAAAGTTGAAGCAGTTATGGAATGGGCAGTACCCAAGTCAGTTACTGAGATCCGGAGTTTTCTGGGTTTGGGTGGTTATTATCGGAAATTCATAGAGGGGTTTTTGAAGTTGGCACTACCTTTGACTAAGCTCACCAGAAAGTGGGAACCTTATGTGTGGACAATCCGTTGTGAAGAGAGTTTTCAAGAGTTGAAACAGAGATTGACTACGGCGCCAATGTTGGTTCTTCCTTATACTAATGGTGATTTCAATGTGTATTGTGATGCTTCTAAGCAAGGTTTGGGTTGTGTTCTGATGCAAGAGGGGAAGGTGTTGCCTATGCTTCTCGATAGTTAAGAACGCATGAGCAAAACTACCCTACCCATGATTTAGAATTAGCTAGAGTGGTCTTTGCCTTAAAAATCTGGAGACACCATCTGTATGGCGTAAGGTTTGAGATGTACAGCGACCACAAGAGTTTGAAATATTTGTTTGATCAAAAGGAACTAAATATGAGACAGAGAAGGTGGATGGAGTTCCTTAAGGACTACGATTTTCGATTGCAGTACCATCCGGGAAAGGCCAATGTAGCAAGCTTTGGCTTAAGCGATGTAGCAAGCTTTGGCTCAAGCGATGTAGCAAGCTTTGGCTCAAGCGATGTAGCAAGCTTTGGCTCAAGCGATGTAGCAAGCTTTGGCTCAAGCGATGTAGCAAGCTTTGGCTCAAGCGATGTAGCAATGCTTTGGCTCAACCGATGTAGCAAGCTTTAGCTCAAGCAATGTAGCAAACTTTGGCTCAAGTTATGTAGCATGATTTTCAAAAGTATAAACGATTGAAATGGTTTTAAGTATATTTAACTTTAAATTGTTTACTTAACCATATTAAAATGCGTATTAACGTACATTGACATTTATTAAGTTAGCAACTTACTCCTTGGTGTTTTCTGTGTATGGTCAATGTTAATCCTAGTGCAGGTAGGTGGAAGAATTTAAGGAGGTGTTGATTAGGAGCTTAGAGGCTTTTAATATTTTTGAAGTCTTTATCCGCATTGTTTTGTAAACTGACTTGTTGTGTTTTGAGATGTATATCTGTGATCATGTATATGCTATTAGTACATGTTAGTAATGATGAATATTTGTAACTCTCGATATTTGTATCTATGGGTATTTTGGAATCCCATAGCTAGTTGTATGTAGTAGTTATTGGGGTATATTGAAATTAATTATGTTTTTCTGTCATATGAAAAGAGTTCAAGTAATGATTAATTAGTTATTAATGTGGAATGAAGAATGTATGTAATAATAGATCAAAATAAGGAAAAAAATTCATGGGTAGAATTTGGGTCCTTACAGTTATACTTTAATGTTATTACACCATGTAATTCCACGTTGCGGTTGGATTAGTTTGTAACACTGTAAATTTTAGGTCTTTAAATTTATAGTATCATTCTTGGGATCCTCGCTTGAGCGAGAGATTCTCGCTTGGGCGAGAGAGGTTCACCTGGGAGGATAAAATCCTGGGCTATACTGGAGGATTCTCGCCTGAGCGAGAGTTGTCTCGCCTGGGCGAGGAATCGCATTTTCGGGTTACCACCAACTTCGTGTGAAGACGGAAGACTTTCCTAAAACTGCTTTTAAAAAGTGCTTTCTTTAATGAGTTTGGTTTATGGCGACATATAAACGGCGCACATTAAAATGAGTGCTGTTAAAAGTCACACATTTAACTACACTTATAAGAGTGTTGTTAAAGGTGACACTCAATAATTCATTTTTCAGTAACTCGAGTTGATCTGTCCAATGGGTAGAATGGAAAATTCTACCCCAAATATATATATCATATGTTCAATTCTGTAATACAGATCCAAAGTTATGCTAAAAATAGAATTTCCCAAATTGTTTTTTCACTGCGTATGTGCATCTCACAAACTACAGCTTGGAAAGTGATTCTGCTTTTCCCGATGTTCAATGTGGGATGAAAGAAGTGTGAAAACAAAATTTCATGCAAAGGAACCGACCTATCTTCTGTGTGTACGGGGATTTTGCGCGGGGGTTGGAACAAAGACACATTTAATTATAAATTCAAATGTGGCAGATAAAGTCATTTATATATCTGCGCGGTCCAGTCAATAATAGTTCAAGTCACACACTCCCATAATCCATTGTTTCTTCCAAGAATTCCCTTTAACTTAACAAAATTAGATTATTATTTTTCTATTTGATTGTTGTAGGGAAATATCCAAATATATGTCTTATTTAAAAGAATAAGACAAATTGTAGTAGTGAAATACAACTGTTCCTCCCCCAAATGAAAAATGCTCAATTACTAATATCTATGATCCAAACTATACTCTCTATAATGGACCGAAAATGCCTTGCTTACGTATCATTGCAAAGTGCATTAACATAAATATGGCAATAAGAAGACGTAATAGAAAAGTATGTAAACAATAAAAACGAGTCAAGGTAGATTGTCCCACTCTAGCATTTACGCGTAATAACTCCACTATAGACGATCAAATTACAGGAATAGCTTATGTTACACCCGTAACAATTTTTACTGCCCTATACCTAATTTGGTCCCAAAGTAAGGAATAACTAGTTACACCAAAATATGTGGTCAATCTAGTGAGATACACCCAAAATACGTGCAGGATCATCATTAAGACCATCATACTTGCCGACCATCGATGAACTGATCGGATTAACCAACCAAAGTTAGCCTCAGTCATTATATATTGAACAGAAGCAAAAGCCTCAGTAACGGTCGGACGATAATAAAAAGTCATAGCAAATCCTGTTGCTACTTGGACTAAAAAACAAGTGTAATTCCTCCTACGGTTCAAACAAAAATACCCAAATACTGATTGTAGCGGAAACGGATATGTGTAATAGAAAATTCTTAACTTAATCCTATGCAACCTTCTCGGAAGATAAGAAAAAAATAGAAATCCGAAAGCTATTCTTTGTGGTTATAATGCCAAAATCTCAAGTCAGCTCACTAAGTTTTATCTTGCTCGTTACAGGCCTCTTGAATATTCTATCTTACTTAATTTCTTTTCCTTTTATTTGTGTTATTTTTTATTTGTGTGAGTGGAATCCAACTTTACCTTGATGTCGTCTTTATTATTCTTATTGAACACTAGAAAAATCAGAATCAATTTCCAAGCTGTAGTTTGTGAGATGCACATACTAGTGAAAAGTAAATAGGCGATATTCTATTTTTAATATAACTTTGGATCTGTATTTTAGAATTGGACATAAGTTATATGCATCTGGGGTAGAATTTTACATTCTATCCATTAGACATATCATTGTGGGTTTTCGAAAAGAGCCTTGTTCAGTGTCAACTTTAACAACACCCATTTAAGTGTAGTTAAATGTGTGGCTTTTAACAGCGCTCATTGTAATGACGAATGTACTCCCCAAGCGGGATACTTAACGCATTAGCTACAACATTCCACAGGTCGATACTATGAATTCCTAGTATCCATCGTTTACACCTAGAACTACTGGGGTATCTAATCCCATTCTCTCCCTTAGCTTTCTTCTGTCAGCCCAACAGAGTGCTTTCGCCGTTGGTGTTCTTTCTGATCTCTACGCATTTCACCGCTCCACCGGAAACTCCCTCTGCCCCTACCCTACTCCAACTTGGTAGTTTCCACCGCCTGTCCAGGGTTGAGCCCTGGGATTTGATGGCGAACTTAAAAATCCACCTACTGATGCTTTACACCGAATCATTTCGGATAACCTTTGCATCATTTGTCTTACCGCGGCTGCTGGCATAGAGTTAGTCGATGCTTATTCCACGGATAGCGTCTAAAAGGACCCGATTTTCAAAATCCAAAAATTATTTTTAAAACCTTGTTCATGAAAGCGAATTGATTACTTTTAAAAGACATTACTCGAACGATTTGGAAAACCTGATTGAATATATATATATAAGTTCAATTCATCTTTCAGGTGCGGAAACAATCAATCTTTCACTTCATTAAAAACATGGCATTACACTTCCTTTTAATTACACAATTTAGATATAATTATCCACTCTCAATAATACTTCCATTTTTTTACATCATCTAATATCCTAACTATACATTTAGGAGAAAGTCACTCATAAATAAACCCCAATTAACCTACCCTTCATATTACATGCATTATTCAATTACAACATTGAGAGCATAAGCAACTACTCAAACATGTACTCTCCTCCGCAAGCATCCGATGAGCTACCGCCACAACCTGAACTCAAATACATAACACACACAAGGAAAGACAGAGGGAGTAAGAACCAACTACGGCGATCGTAGCATGGATTTACATTGAGCAATAACATTAAAGTATTAAAACCACACACATCTAACATCAATCATGATAAACATATACCAATCAACACATATTATCCATATTCACCCTATAGTAGACATATATCCCATACTATATGTGTTCTATAGTATGCATATTTATTCATCACATATTATTCATATTCACCCTATAGTACACATATATCCCATAATATATATGTGCTATAGTGTGCATATTTTATTCATCCAAACATACTCATCTCTCATCATTCACATTCCGTAGTAATTTACCCTTGATCTCTTTCAACAATTTAGCACCGTACAAATAATCCTCTACCACATCGGGTAGCTCTAGTTAATCCCCCATACCACATCGGGCAGGTCCAGTTCATTCTCCATACCACATCGGGCAGGTCTAGTTAATTCTCCATACCACATCGGGCAGGTCTAGTTAATTCTCCTTACCACATCGGGTAGGTCTAGTTCATTCTCCATACCACATCGGGTAGGTCTAGTTCATTCTCCATACCACATTGGGAAGGTCTAGTTAATTCTTCATACCACATCGGGCAGGTCTAGTTAATTCTCCATACCACATCGGGCAGGTCTAGTTATTTTTCCATACCACATCGGGCAGGTCTAGTTATTTTTCCATACCACATCGGGCAGGTCTAGTTATTTCTCCATACCACACCGGGCAAGTCTAGTTATTTCTCCATACCACACCGGGAAAGTCTAGTTATTTCTCCATACCACATCGGGCAGGTCTAGTTATTTCTCCATAACACATCGGATAGGTCTACTTCATTCTCCATACCACATCGGGTAGGTCTAGTTAATTCTCCATACCACATCGGGCAGGTCTAGTTCATTCTCCATACCACATCGGGCAGGTCTAGTTTCCACATTATACTCACATCCATGTCATACACAATCAACACAAGGCATCTCATTATTTTATCACCATAAAATAACACACAACACCTTCATTGTCACAAACATACCCTTATCCATTTTAACATCTTAACAAGTCATCACACATTCATTGTTACAAACACACCCTTATCCATTTTAACACATTAACAGGTCACCACACATTCATTGTTACAAACACACCCATACATGTTTATGCCAATCAACCACTCACAACATACTCATTTATGTTTATGACCATAAATAACTCACACGTCATCATTATCACACAACATAACCATTATCATAATCAAACCACGCATAACATATCCTTCATCATATATACATTAACGTTAGAACCATCTTTGATGACGGTGTATTACCATAAATGAGCATATAGCGTTTTACTTAAATAAACGGTTTTCCCCACACTTATATCTCCACTTTTATGGCTAATATATCCTCATGTAAAATAAAGACTCTCACGTGGACCACAAACTCCCAAGAGAGTTTCTATCCATTAATATGCTCCGATTCTAGAGGGAAATCGGAGATGATGGCTCTAATGAAATAATCTAAGACCACAATGGTCTTCTCCCTCACCTTAGGTTGTGTAAGTTCCATGGATCCGCAAAGAGCTCCCTCTTCCTCCAACTTCTTCAACCTCCATTGTTGCTTTTTCCTCTCCAAAGCTCTCCAATGTTCCATTAAGAAGCAAGAGGTAGAGGCTTTGATGTGTTTTTGAGGTTTAGGGGGAGGAAAGAGTCGAAATCCATGAGGAGCCGCCATTGGGAGTGAAAGGGGAGAAAATAAAATGAAGATTAGGGTTTGTGAAACCCTATCTTCACTTTTATAGTTGGGCACTCTCGCTTGGGCGAGAAACCTACGATATTTTAATTTTCCAGACACGGGCTCTCTCGCCTGGGCGAGATTCTCTCGCTCAAGCGAGAATCTCATAGCCTACCCAGGCTTTCTCTCGCTCAAGTGAGCACTCTGGCTTGGCCGAGATTCGCAGAATTCCCAAAACTAAAACACTAGGTCTCTCGCTTGGGTGAGACCCTCTCGCTCAAGCGAGAATCTGGCAGTATGCCCTCCTCCTTCAGGACTATTACCAAATTTCAAGGAGGATAAATTTGGGGTGTTACAACATCATTGCTTCTTCTCCGTTAAAAGAAGTTCATGTCCCGTAGGCCTTCTACCTCCATGCGGCATAGCTCCATCACGCTTTCGCCCATTGTGGAAAAAACACCACTGTTGCCTCCCGTTGGAGTCTGGGCCGTGTCTCAGTCCCAGTGTGGCTGATCATCCTCTCGGACCAACTACTGATCATAGCCTTGGTAAGCTATTGCCCCACCAACTAGCTAATCAGACGCCAGCACCTCCTTCGGCGGATTCCTCGTTTTTTCCTCAGCCTACATGGTATTAGCAGCCGTTTCCAGCTGTTGTTCCCCTCCCAAGGGCATGTTCTAACGCGTTGATCACCCTTCCGCCACTGAAAACACCACTTCTCGTCCGACTTTCATGTGTAAGGCATGCCGTCAGCGTTCATCCTGAGTCATGATCAAACTCTCCATGAGATTCCTAGTTACATTACTTATACCTTCCTTGTTCGAATTCCAAGGTAGAACTTGTATCCATGCGCTTTATATTCGCCTGCAGTTCACATATAACAACTCTTAATTGAGTGTTGTTAAATATGACATTCAACACGACTATTTTCACCAAGAGTTATTGTTTTGAATATATTCAAAAGCGCTATCTTACAATGAGCGCTGTTAAAAGCCACACATTTAAATACCCTTGAATTAGTGTTGTCAAAGCTGACACTCATCAACTCTCTTTTCAGAAACACGCGTTGATATGTCCAATAGATAGGACGGAAAATTCTACCCCGATTGCATATATTTTATGTCCAATTCTGAAATATGGATCCAAAGTTATGCTAAAAATAGAATTTCGCATATTTACTATTCATTGTGTATGTGCATCTCATAAAATAAAGTTTGGAAAGTGATTCTGTTTTTTCTGGTGTTCAATGTGGGATGAAAGAAGAGTGGAAACAAAATTTCTTGCAAATACTCCACCCGCAACTATATGAATCAACACTCACATAATCAACAAACTGTGCAAAATTGCGCTATTTAAAGTCACACATTTAACACCTCTTAAAAGAGTGTTGTTAAAGTTGACATTCAACAAATCTCTTTAAACCAAGTGTTGTTGTTTTGAATATATTCAAAAGCTCTTTCTTTAATTAGTGTTGTTAAAGGCGACATATCAATGGCTCTGATTACAATGAGCGCTGTTAAAAGTCACACATTTAACTACGCTTATATGAGTGTTGTTAAAGGTGAAACTCAACAACTCTCATTTCAGAAACCCGTGTTGATATGTCCAATGGATATAATGGAAAATTCTACCCCCGATGCATATATCATGTGTCCACTTCTGAAATGCGGATCCAAAGTTACGCTAAAAATAGAATTTTGCCTATTTACTTTTCGCTATGTATGTGCATCTCACAAACTATAGCTTTGAAAATGATTCTTATTTTTATGGTGTTCAATGTGGGATGAAAGAAGTGTGGAAGCAGAATTTCATGCAAAAATTTCATCCACAACTATATGAATCAACACTTACATGATTAACAAACCGTGCAAAATTGCGCTATTTAAAGACACACGTTTAACAAGTTTTAAATGAGTGTTGTTAAATTTGATATTAAACAAGGCTCTTTTAACAAAGCATTGTTGATCTGAATATGTTCAAAAGCACTTTCTTTAATGAGTGCTTTAAAAGGTGTCATATCAATGACTCTCATTACATACGTCCAATTCTGAAATATAGATCCAAAGCTAAGCTAAAAATAGAATTTCGCCTATTTACTTTTCACTGCATATTTGCATCTCACAAACTACATCTTGGAAAGTGATTATGCTTTTTTCTATGTTTCAATGTTGGATGAAATAATTGTGGGAACAAAATTTTATGCAAAAATGCCACCCACAACTATATGAATAAACACCCACATAATCGACAAACTATGCAAAATTGTGTTATTTAAAGTCAAAAATTTAACCACTCTTAAATAAGTGTTATTAAAGTTGACATTCAACGAAACTCTTTTACCCAAGCATTGTTGATCTGAACAAACCATGCAAAATTGCGCTATTTAAAGTCACACGTTTAACAGGTCTTAAATGAGTGTTGTTAAAGTTGATATTCAACAAAGCTCTTTTAACCAAGTGTTGTTGCTCTGAATATATTCAAAAGTGCTTTCTTTAATGAGTGCTTCTAAATGTGACATATCAATGACACTCATTACAATGAGCGTTGTTAAAAGTCACACATTTAACTATGGTTAAGTGAGTGTTGTAAAAGGTGACACTCAATAACCTTCTTTTCAGAAACCTGTGTTGATATGTCTAGTGTATAGAACAGAAAATTCTATCTCAGATGCATATATCATATGTCCAATTCTGAAATAGACATCCAAGGTTAAGCTAAAAATAGAAATTCTGGATTTCAATGTTGGATGAAATAATTGTGGAAACAAAATTTCATGCAAAAATTCCACCCACAACTATATGAATAAACACTCATATAATGGACAAACTGTGCAAAATTGTGCTATTTAAAGTTAAACATTTTTACCACTCTTAAATTAGTGTTATTAAAGTTGACATTCAACGAAGCTCGTTACAATGCGCATCGTTAAAAGTCACACATTTAACTATGCTTAAATGAGTGTTGTTAAAGGTGACACTCTACAACGCTCTTTTCAGAAACTCGTGTTGATATGTCCGATGGATAGAATGGAAAGTTGCACCGCAATTTCATATGTTATATGTCCAATTATGAAATACAGATCCAAAGTTATACTAAAAATATAATTTTGCCTATTTACTTTTCACTGCGTATGTGCGTCTCACAAATAACAGCTTGGAAAGTGATTCTGCTTTTTCTATTATTCAATGCGGGATGAATGAAGAGTGGAAACAAAATTTCATGCCAAAATTCCACCCACTACTATATGACTCAACACTCACAAAATCAACAAATATGCAAAATTGCGCTATTTAAAGATACATGTAACATCTCTTAAATGAGTGTTGTTAAAGTTGACATTCGAAAAAGATCTTTTAACCAAGCGTTTTTGCTCTAATATATAAAAAACCTTGTCATTAACTAGTGCTGTTAAAGGTGACATATGAACGACGCTAATTACAATGGGCATTGTTAAAACTAACTACGTTTAAATGAGTGTTGTTAAAGGTGACACTCAACAATGCTCTTTTCAGAAACACGTATTGATATGTCTCCAATGGATTGAACGGCAATTTCTACCCCAGTTTCATATATCATATGTCCAATTCAGAAATACGGATCCAAAGTTATGCTAAAAATAGAATATCGCATATTTACTTTTCATTGCGTATGTGCATCTCACAAACTACAGCTTGGAAAGTGATTCTTATTTTTCCGGTGTTCATTGCGTATGTGCAAGCAAAATGTCATGCAAAAATTCCACTCAAAACTATATGAATCAACACTCACATAATCAACAAAATGTGCAAAATTGCGATATTTAAAGTCGGACATTTAACATCTACTTTAAATGAGTGTTGTTCAAGTTGGCATTCAACAAATCTCTTTTAACCAAGCATTATTGTTCTGAATATATTCAAAAGCGCTTTCTTTAATAAATGTTGTTAAAGGTGACATATCAACGGCGCACATTACAATAAGGGCTATTAAAAGTCACACATTTATCTACGCTTAAATGAGTGTTGTTAAAGGTGACACTCAACAAGTCTCTTTTCAGAAACCGGTGATAATATGGCCAATGCATAGAACGAAAAATTCCACCACATAGGTAAATATTATATTTTCAATTTTGATATTCGGATCCAAAGTTAAGCAAAAAATAGATTTTTGCCTATTTACTTTTCAGGGCGTAAGTGCATCTCACAAACTACAGCTTCGAAAGCGATTCTACTTTTTCCGGTGCTCAATTAGGGATGAAAGAAGTGTGGAAACACATTTTCATGCAAAATTTCAACCCACCTCTATATGAATCAACACTCACATAATCAACAAATTGTGCAAAATTGCGCTATTTAAAATCACACAATTAACAGCTCTTAAATGAGTGTTATTAAACATGTCATTCTACATCGCTCTTTTAACCAAGCGCTGTTGTTTGAATATATTCAAAAGCGCTTTCTTTAATGAGTGTTGTTAAATGTCACATATCAACGACGCTCATTACAATGACCGCTATTAAAAGTCACACACTTAACTACACTTATATGAGTGTTGTTAACGGTGATACTCATCAACGCTCATTTCAGAAATCCAATTGATATGTCCAATGGATAGAACGGAAAATTCTACCCCAAATGTATATATCATATGTCCAATTCAGAAATACGGATCCAAAGTTATGTTAGAAATAGAATTTCGCATATTTACTTTTCACTACGTATGTGCTTCTCACAAACTACAACTTGGAAAGTGATTCTGCTCTTTCCGGTGCTCTGTATCAAAAGAAATAAGTGTGGAAACAAAATTTCAAGCAAAAATTCCACCCACATTTGTTTGAATACACATACATAATCAACAAATTGTGCAAAATTGCGCTATTTGTAGTCACACATTAACAATTCTTAAATGAGTGTTGTTAAAGTTGGAATTCAACAAAGCTTTTTCAACTAAGTGTTGTTCTTCTGAATATACTCAAAAGCAATTTATTTAATGAGTGTTGTTAAAGGTGACTTGTAAGGACCCAAATTCTACCCTAGAAAATATTTTGTTTATTTAAAATCTTTCCTTACATACTGTAACACCTCAACTTTTATTTTCGGATTGATTGGAAAACTTACGGTGTTGAGGTGCATGTTTGACCATTCTCTCTTGGACGAGAGGGTCTCGCCTAAGCGAGGGACTCAACGTTTTAAGTTTGAGAAGTATAGGAACCTCGCCCAAGCGAAGAAGTGGTCGTTTGAGCGAAAGTGAAATCTGGAAAAGCTGTCAAATTCTAGCTCGAGCTAGGATTTTCGCCCAGGCTAGAGGGGGCGCCCGGGCGAGAGCCTTCCAGTGTGAAATGTGAAAAAGTCGCGAAATTCTCGCCCAAGCGAGCCGTTATCGCCCGGGCGAGAGCGTCAGAGCTATAAAAGTGAAAAAGGGGATCTAGAAACCCTAATCTTCATATTCTTTCTCCCCCTTTCTCTCCCAACGGTTGCTCCACTCAAATGGACCATTTTCCCCTCCACTAAGCCTCAAAACTCATTAAAACCTTCCTCTTTCTTCATGGTGACACATTTGGAAAAGCTTGGAGGTGAAAGAGCAACAATGGAGGTTGGAGGAGATGAAGGGAGATGTGGCTATTTTGCGGAGCAGCGGAGCTTACGCAACCTAAGGTGAGGGAGAAGACCATTGTGGTCTTAGAGTATTTCATTAGAGTCATCATCTCCGATTTCCCTCAAGAATCGGAGCATATTAACGGATAGAAACTCATTTGAGTGTTTGTGGTCCATGTGAGAGTCTTTATTTTACATGAGGTTGTA